TTCTCACACACCTACAGATATATTATTTAGAAGAATATGCAAACTCTTTCATCCTCATTGTTTTTGCCTAGGACAAAAGGTTTATTTATTTATTTATTTTATTTCTGAACTGGTCTATGGCTAGACATCAAAGCTGTGGTTGCTCTCTTAGTCTTCAAGTTCTCTGAGAATACCTTAAGAAGCCTGTAGGAAAAGGTGGGAATGTCTGACACTGATTCCTACAGGAAACTTTGGATTAACAAAAGTTGCAGTTCCTTTTCTGGACTTTCCCTGTGTAGCTGCAGAATTGCATGTGTTTGATTAGTGCAAACGTGAGGGACTGCAGAATTCCACAAGAGGTTGGCAAAGGACCTGGAAAGACCAGGTTTTGAAAGACTTTCACAAAATGGAAACCAACCCTCTTGCTTATATCAATACTTAATGTGATGTGCCATTTGCAAGTCACATGAAAATAAAGCAAGAACCTGAGATATCTTACCCCAAGCTTTCTGAACATGACAAGGCCTTGAAATGAACTCTCCAGTGAACAATTAGATCACAAAAAGCAAGAAATATAACCTGTTCTGCTTCTGCTAGGCTTCCTGTCACACTGATGGACTATGCTAGCACCCTAGCCAGCCTGCCATTCTTGCAGAGTCTGCACTCTAGCTACATGTGGCTTCTATGTACTAATGTTTCCACACCAAATTAAGGTATGCCACAGTGTAAAGCACACACTAGATCTCAAAGCACTTAAAAACTGTAAAATGACTAATGCCTAGGTCTTTGATCCACTTTGAGTTGAGTTTTGTGCAGAGTGAGAGATAGGGCTTCAATTTCATTCGGCTCTCTATGGATTTCCAGTTTTGCCAGCACCATTTGTTGAAGAAGGTATCTTTCTCCAATGTATGTTTTTAGCGCTTTTGTTTAGTAGGAGATAACTATATTTATGTGGGTTTGTCTCTGCATCTCCTATTCTGTTCTGTTGGTCTTCATGTCTGTTTTGGTGCCAATACCATGCTGTTTTTGTTACTATAGCTCTGCAGTATAAGGTCTGGTATTGTGATGCCTCCTGCTTCACTTTTCTCACTAAGGACTTAAAATCAGCATACTCTAGTAATACATCAATGTTTAAAGGAGCTCAATTCACAATAGCTAAACTATAGAACCAACCTAGGTGCCCTTCAACAGATGAATGGATAAAGAAAATGTGGTATATATACACAACGGAATATTACTCAGACATAAAAAATGACTTTATGTCTTTTGCTAGTAAATGGATAGGTGGATCTGGAGACTAAAATGCTAAGCAAAATAAGCCTATCTCAAAAAACCAAATCCCAAATGATATGTGGATGCTAACAAACTAGGGAGGGGGAAAAATAGAAGTTCATTTGATTAGATGAAGGGAAGGGAGTGTGGATGAGAATGGGAAGGACAGTTGAATGACTCTGACATAACTTTCCTATGTACATATATGAATATACCACAGTGAATCTCCACATCATATACAACCACAAGACAGAGATCCTAATTAAAATAACATATACTCCATGTTTGTATAAATATATCAAAATATACTGTCATGAATAACTAAAAAGAACAAATTTTTTTTAAATGTAAAATATCTAATTAATGATTTTGTATTGGCTACACATTAAAATGACATTTTAAATATATTACATTAAGTAAAATCTATAATTGAAATTAATTTTCTTTCTTTTTTACCCTTTCTAAATGCAGCTACTAGAATATTTAAAATACATATGACTCTCATAATATTTCTAGTAGACAGTGCTGCTGTAGATCTTTGAATTACAGGATAAAGACAGATACAACCTTTGGCAGAATGAACAGAGGTTTATATATAGACTGTATTCAACAGATATCTCCCATGTTCGGCTGTCCTCAATGTTTACATTTGTAAGTAGCATTCTGATCATAAAAGTCCCCTTTAATATCACCTAGAGACAAAGTCGTGTTGGTTTAGGCTTTTTCTTGAGCCATATTATATATTGGATGTACTTTAGTGAGGAAGTGTCTTTGAAAGGTCTCATCCTGAATATCCCCTAGTCATCAAGGTGATATTCTCACAAATTGCTGTTGRTGATAAAATTTTACTTTGAAAATTACAATGCCTTCATTGAAATGCTGACTCTGCTGGAGTTAATGAAGTGTAGAAATTCAGCTCCTCCTCCTAAGTTCACCAAATGTCCAGAYTCACCCTCGGAGCAGGGCAGACAGCAAGACACCAAACTCTGGCAGGAAGTGACTGGGCCCCAAAGTGTTGGCAAAGACAGTCCTTTCTTTACTCATTTATTCATAAAGCAAACATTTATGAAATGCCAAACACTTCAATTTGTGATTTTCCTCTTTTATGGGCTTTATGATGGAATAGATACATCATTCTCAAAATGGAAGATGTTTGACAGCAAACTTTTCAAATGTTCACTAAAACCGACTACTCCCCTCCCAATCCCTGGATGGTGGTTGTTAGCTCAGAGGATGAAGCTCACTCCCACCAGATGTTTGGTTGATTGCTTGGTTGCTTGGTTGCTTGGTTGGTTGTAAGAACTGAATTGCACTATGTGCTTAAGGTTTTTCAACAGTGCTTTCAAGTCACCTTGAACATTGACATCAAAGTTAAAAGACAGAGCAAAAGAGAGGAAGAGGTGGATGAAGGATAAGTAAAACATCAGTGAGCTTGTCCTCTTTATTGTAGTGTTTGTTCCTTCCTTTCCTTCTGCATCCCTCACCAACCTCTCTATTTATTAAAATTGCTTTAGTGTTTGGCCATCTGTTTTTCTCCATGCTTACATATATGAAGTACAGATCTGAATTATTCTGGGGAGGAGGACCTAAAATTTATCTAATTTGGAGACTCACTTTAAAAATCCAGAATTTTTATTCCATATTCCTACAGGTGGCACACACACAGGGACTTGGAAGGCTGAGACAAGAGGATCACAAGTTTAAGGCCAGATTCAGAAAACTAGCAAGGCCCTCATCAATTCAAAATAAAAAATTAAAAGACACCCCTGGGTTAATCCCTAATACCAAAAAAAACAAAATTGCTATCTTAGAATTGGTATAGAACATTAACAGGCACCCATGCAAATAAGAGGTCTCAACATTTAAACTTCATTAACTTCAAAATATATCAGCTCTGTGCCTATGTAATATGTATTATGTAGCATCATACATATAATATGTATGAGATGGGAGTGTCTTGTTATATTTTATTTATTTTAAAAGGATTATAAACACCCTTCTGTGTMTTTTCAACAATATAATATAGAAATCATCCTAGGTAGTATCATTGAATTCATTTTTTTAAATGTTCATATCACATCCATGATGTACATGTACCACAAATAATCCAGCCATCTCCCTTATTGGGTGTACATCCCTCCATTTCTAGTCTTCTGTTTTAAGAAAGGATTCTTTCACTACTATACAAATGCCACAAAAATACTTCTATAGTTTTTTTAAAAACTGTGAACTTTTAATAGATTGCACTAAATTTATTAATTTCTTGGAGAAGTAGCAATTTCATTATGTTGAGATGTTCTAAAGAAGAAAACAGTATGTTTTTCTACTTGGACAAATCCCATCCACAGGGTATTTATGATCCAATAAAGAAAATAAAGCTTGTGGGCACATAGCCATGATGTGAGAAAAAAAGTAAAACACAAATTATAAAACATGAAAGTAATGGGAAGGGAATACTCTAGAGGTACAGTCAGGAGAGGAGAGTTAAGGGAGGGGAAAAGCTAGGAGAAAGCAAGCTCAGCTGGGGCACAGAGACATTTGARAAACAGCAAGTATGCAGCTCAGAGGGGCTGGAACAGAAAGTGCAGATGGTACAGAACCAGGAGATGAGGCCATGAGGTAGGTGGAGCTCAACAGAGCCAAGAATTCCAGACAGAAGAGTGCATCCTCCTTCAGCAGGGCAATGGGACCCACAGCCAGTTTGGGGCCAAGAAGAAAATAAGATGAGAGCTCAGTTTTAGGATTACTCAGGCAGCCTGGGAGGAGAAGGCCGGCACTCAGGCAGGGAGCAGCAATAATAGTCCACGGGAGACCATATGAGACCTAGGCTGGGTGGGAAGAGAGAGGAAGGAAGAGAGAAACACATCCTGTGGCACCAGTGACGGGAATTCAAACACTAGATTAGGGAGGGGAAAATACGGATGCTTCTAGTCTTGAACTTGGGCAAACAGTAGGATGGTGACACCATCAACACAGATGAACAAAGCAAAAGACGGTGTGTGGATGAAAGATTTGTTTAGAATCGTTAAATGTAACATGCAGGCAGGATATTCAAGTAGACATAGCCTGGACTAGAGCCCAAAACATGAAGGCCATCCTGGTCTTTCAAAGAATAGTGATACATTTTCCTACTTCCCTGCGGGCACCAAGCAGATGAGCTCAGAGAATGTCAAGGCTCCTCACACTCCACAGGCTTATGTCTTTCAGAAAAAGTTAAAAACTTCTGGACTCCTTACACTGCTCACAGAGTGCCCTTCTTCAACATCTGCTATGGTCTGACCCAGCCTGGACAGCCACTGCCTAAATGCACAGACAAGACATCACCTGAAAGCCTCATAACATGAGAAAAAGTTCAATGAACTCTTAGAACTCAGTGCATTCAACTCTGCTTCAAAATAGAATACATACCCTCAAGAGCACTGTAAGGTATACATCCAGTTTTGTTTTAAATAAAACTGAATTTTCAAATAAAAGTAGCTTATAATTTTACCAAACTATACTTCAAAACTATTTTTTCTTCCAAAGGTACAAAGTGATTGTCAATAAAGTTTGATAAGAGAATATACAGAGATACATGACGTTTTCCTAAATTAAAATTTTGGTGATCCTTGGTTCAACGATAATAAACAAAGCTGAAAAAACAAAACAATTGGTGGGGGGATTCAAGAATGCTTTTATTTAGCAGTTAGATGGGAAAAAATAATAATCAATATGAAATTATATTTTGCAAAAATATTAAATATACAAACCTCATAATGTTCGTATTCCTCCACATCAAATGTCTCAAAGTCAAAAAATCCATGTTGTAATCCCTAAAAGAAGAAGAATTTGAATTAGTTTTTATATTTAATTGATGGAATACACTCATCATTTCTGAAATTCCAGATAAAAAAAATAACATAAGAGCTTGAAACTTAATTTTATGCATCTCTAGAAATCATTTCATAACAGTGGTCCCACACAGGATGTCTCTTGGATGCTAATTTATATTAATTTTACTTAAAGATAATAATGCATATAAAATGGGACAAATTGGCAAATTTATGATTAAAGCCTACTGAGAACTATGACAGAATAAATATTAGAATGATTAACTTATCAAATAGAAAAATAATCAGTTATTCTTAGAAAGTTTTGTTTTCTTTGATCTAATGATATTTAACCAAAAATGGCATTTTTAATTTCTAATTTACTTCTAAAATTCTACTTTGAGACACTCTGTTTTCTGATGTTAGTCTGATGTTAGAAGGAAAAAAAACTGATATTTTTAACAAAAAAAAAAAGCTTCATACTTCTTTTTCTAACTAATGACTTAGAACTTTTTAAAATTATCTAGCTTGTTCAGATCTAATATTTTCAGGAAGACAAATAGTCTTCTATTTTATAAAACCTGAAGTGATACAGGTTACAAACCCACAGGTACTTTAAAAATTATATGGTCAAGTCATTAAAAATAGAAAAAGAAACTAACAAGCTAAGCTCCAATACTTCCAGCTTCAAAAAACCTTTAGAGTATTTTTTTCAAAATACAGGCCACAGGTCACCAGCATCAAAACACTTAAGGTAGTTTATGTTAAAAGACAGATTTCTTGGGCTGAGGCTGTAGCTCAGTGGTAAAGTGTTTGCCTTGCATGTGTGAGGGACTGGGTTCAATCCTCAGCATCACATAAAAATAAATAAAGATACTGTGTGTTCATCTACAACTAACTAAATATTTAAAAAAAAAAAAAAAAAGATTCTTGGGCCCCTTCCCAGAACTGCTAGATGGGGCACAGAATCAGCACTTTAACATGCTTTCCTAGGTGATTCTTATAAATTCTAAATTCTGACAATACTGGTTTAGACAATTCCTTCCCAAAAAGCAGAACAAGTTAAACCTTTTAAAAAGCAACTTCGTTCATTTATACTCACCATTCCAGAGAAAACAGTGAGAAAAATATGTTCTAAACAATCTACTTTTCTTCCTTTCTCCTTATTTTTAAAGTGTATGCTTGTATATGTGTCTGTATGTTCACATAACACATGACCTACACTTATGACAATGTTAAGACATCAAAGCCAGAAAAATATCTTCCCTAAAAAGGCAAAAATGTGGCCACACTTTGAGTGCCCATTATCACAAGGGATCTCCCCACCATAAAAACAGCCCAGAACATGGCACATCATGTAAGGTAGTATACACAGGCCAAGACTTCTCCCTTGCTTAAAGATGTATGGAACATCTATCAGATCCTTTAAAATCTCATCTATATTTGGGAAGACCCCACCATCTGAGAAAACAATAAGTTTAGAGAAGGCTGTATTCATGACTAAAGTCCACCTTTCCTGTACAACAGGAAGCATGTCATGAATTTCTATATTGAGACACCAGTTACCATAATAACAGCCAGGGATATTCCAGTGAGAACTCTTTCTGAATTTTGTGTTGTAAAAGAAGCAGCACCTACCAGATGGAAGGATAGGCTAAATAACAATAATAATGACAATAAGTAAATCACTTTTTCCTCTCAGGCATTTTCTCTAAATGCTATAATTATGGGTTATGTGTTGGGTAATACCTCCATAAAATCTTTTAAYTAGTATTTCTGGAAGTGTATTTCCATTATACTGTTGGCAGGGGTGGGCTAAAGCATCCTTATAGCTTTTATGAGAAGAAAAATTTATGAAAACTATTTTCAAATCTTAGAGGCTTTAAAATCATTTTTTAAACAGAATATCAGGACTGGGGACAGGGTAGCTCAGTCATGGAGCACTAATCTAGCATGCACAAGACCCTGAACTTGATGCCCAGCACCACAGAAAAAATAAATAAAATATCAAAGTCAGAAACAAGCATACATAAAACAAGCATCATAATAATAATAATAATACTGTTTATCTYAATTCAAACATATCAAAACCAATTTTATATTACAAAAAAGAAACTTGTGCTAGCATCCTACTGACACTATATATATATACTGACACTATATAACCAATGGGTTACATAACACATACATTTCTGACTGATAACAAATCACAACTTTACGTCCAAGATGGAATTGTGTACTTTCAGAACTCGTTAAGAGTAATCACAGGATAGCTTGCATGTCTTCTCAGATTACAAATTAAACAGATCCCAAAAATATAAAACACAACTAACTAACTTCAGAGTGTATCAAATTATCTGGAGGGGCTGTTCAAACACAGACCAAAGGACCCCACCCCCAGAGTTTATGACTCAGTCAGTCATGGGCAGGGGTGAATTAACAGAACAGTGGCTTAGATAACTTCCTGTCTCTCTCCCACCAAGATTTAGCTTGATAATGAAGCTCAGTGGGTAACAAAGAAATGTCACTGGCACAGCTTCAGGTAGAAGTGATCAATTTGGCCCAGAACACAAATAGTTTAAATGAGAAAGAGAGGCRTCTCTCCACCCAGGTTACCCTATTGTCTGTGTAGTCTCCCTCCATATCCAAAGGGGTTGGTTCCAGTATCCTTCACAGATACCAAATCCCCTATTATTAAATGGTGCAGTATTTGCATATAACCTACATGCATCCTCCCATGTACTTTAAATCATCTCTAAATGACTTATAATACCAAATACAATGTAAATGCTAGATAATATTGTATTGTTTAAGAAATAATGGCAAGGAGGAGAAGCCGGGTTTTTTGTTTTTGTTCTGGTTTTTTTACACTCCCCAAATATTTTCCATCTGAGGTTGGCTGAATCATCGAGGAGGAACCCACAGATACTGAGGGCCAGCTGTACTTTTCAAATCAATCATCATTCAGGAATCGAAAACCCTTCAGAGCTCACTAGCTCCTCTCTCTCTTCTCCAATGGCAAACAAGGGTGTTGGAATTATTCCTTTTCTGTTTTTTTAAACTACTGTACAAACTACAGAAAAAAAAAATTGTTATTACCTTTCTGATTCCCTGTAAACAGTCGAGGATGGTGAGATTGTAAGTGCAATTTCCAAAGGAAGCATCCCTACAAACATAAATAAACTTAACATTAAAAACTTGCATTCAGAATTTTCAAGTAAAATACCTAAAGCAGTTTGAGATGCACTTGCTCAGCTTCATGTTGTCAATATGGCAAAACTTACGTAGCATGTCAGAACCTACTGGTTAACTATTCCTGCAACTTCATGGAAGCACTTCTGAAATTGCTCTAATTCAACAAGCAGAATTAATAAGAAAGCAGATTCAAATCTGAACTCCAGAGTCAGACTGCTTTGGTTCAAATTCCCACTCTGCCATGTACTGGGTAAGAACTTGAGCAAGTTACTTTACCTCTAGGAGTCCTGGTTTCTTCATCTGTTGAAGCAAAGTTAATGACAGCAGCTAGCATTCATAAGGATTGATATTGGATTACATTAAAAAAAATAGGTAAAGTCCTTCAAATGTGCCTGGCACAAAGAAAACACTTAAATGTTATTACCACTCTTATTAACAGTRAATTGAGCTGTTTGGTTAAGTAAAACATTCATCATTACAATAGGCCTTTTGGCAGGGGACCAATCTTGTCAGGAGTGTGATAAACACAGCATTAGAAAGGTAAGGGGGACACTGTATGTAGGTCAATAGAACCTAGTAGTTACTTTCATGAATTAAAAGCCATCTCTCCTCCCTACAGGGCGCAGGGAGAGGGCTGAGGAAAATACAGTCACACTTCCCAACAGACAACCTCCTGGGATCCATGAGGGCTACTTATGCACCCTGAGGTGCTCCGTCCAAAGAGTGGGAACTTACTGCACCAAAAATTGAGGGCTTCATGCTTTATTTAAGTTTTTAGAGCAACTCAGCAGATCTACTTCAGGCAACATAAAACTGAAGTATCAAGTTCAGGTCAGTTAAACAAGAACTGGCACTGGAGCTTTAACACTAGCAATGTTCCAAGGTGTCTGAGGCAAGAAACTTGACCTCAAGTCTCTTGGTCTCTGCCCAGCCCCCACTACTGACCCAAGGAGGGAGCCCATGCCAGGCACCTGCCCTGACAAAGTCAAGTCCCACCCAAGCAACACCAGTACAAGGATAGCTCCTGGGAGAGAGCCAGAAGATGTCCAATGGGAGAACACAATTTTTAAGGGCTTTCAACATAATTAACATAAAACAAAGCTTTATATCACTAGCCATCCAACGTACTTAGAATCTGTGGCTGCTAAGCCATGAATTAAAATGTAACCCGAAATTTACTGAGTTTCGGGTCCTGATAGCCTGATACAAATCTAGTGAGTTAGCCAAGGTTAACAGAAATGGTGCTTAAATCCTGAAACTTCAAAAGTAACCTATGTAACTAGAAGGATCAGTTCAGATATTTAAATTGATTTCAAGAGGAGTTTTGTTGTTTTGTTATTGTTTTCAAATACCATCTGAACTTATTTCAGTGAAAATAAAATGTCTTTTCAACTATCTTTAAAAGCTATAAATCACTTGCTAAGAAGCAAATTTTAATGACTGATACCAGATAAAGGAATAGCTGGAGATCTAAGATAAAATACTAGTTTTTATAAACAATTACACATTCCTTTGCAAATACTTGTCTCTTTGGGGCAAGGATTCAGAATCTAGGTTCCATGGACCCATTTTTTAATGATCTAATGTTTTCAAATGAATAAAATAAAATATATAATATTAATGAAAAACCAATTTAAACAAGGTTATCAAAACATTAAAGAAAAAATTTATAATACCTCAAAATACACTTTTTAAGTTAATATATGACAAGATCTAGTGACAGATCTGATAACCACTGTACTTTTCAGCAAGAAATGAGCAGAAATAATATTTTTTATAATGTTGATACTAGTCTCTAGATTTTTTTAAAATGTTTATTTAGATGAACACTCAATATCTTTATTTATTTTATGTGGTGCTGAGGATTGAACCCAGTGCCTCACACATAGGAGGCAAGCACTTTACCACTGAGCTACAGCCTCAGCCCCCACAAATAATATTTTAAGATTTAACAACTGCAATGTGATATAAAAATGCCTGTGATTTCTAGCGACAAAGTCAAATATGTTGCTAAAGCCACTATAGTTCACTTCCAAATTTTATAATTAAATTTAATACTATAAATTATAAGTTTAGTGAAAATAAAGATAATTTTCTTTTCTCACCTAAATTCACTAGCACTCAAGTAGATCAAAAACTACTGCTTTAATTTTTTACAAAGAAAATTCCTTTATATTCAAAAAGAGTAAAAAACAAATTTATAAGAATTGGAGGTACTTCCTATTCCTTTAAATATATCTTCCCACCCCTAGCCTCGACTAAATGATTCCACAAATAGACCTAATGTCTGCAAACTATGCTGAGACTATCCTACTATCTCTTGTCCTGTCACAGCCATAACTGTTCCCAAGGACTGAAAAGACAGCTCTGAGCTGGGCACAGTGGTGCACACCTGTAGAGCCAGCTACTCAGGAGGCTAAAGCAGGATCACTTAAGCYCAGGAGCTCAAGGCTAGCCTAGGTAACACAGCAAGACTCTAAATAAATAATATAAATAAAATAAAATTGTTTTCAAAGAAAGAGAGCGTGCACTCTGATGACTTAGTGGTCAAATCTGCAAAGAGGCAAAGCTGGGAGAGATGAGTTCACATGCCACGGGACAGAATAAGGATACAGAGCAGTCTCAGCAAACTGGAAACACAAAAGTTTACAAACTGAAATATATAAGAAGGAATGCCATGAAATTCAGTAATACCCTCCTGACTGAGGAAGGAGATGATGACACATCTCTTTTGAGCACCTAGGATGCCAGCTAATTTAGATACATCATGACAGCAACATAAAGGAACAGATTCCACACCAGGGAAGAGAGAAATGGTTTATTAGTAACATCTGGCTCATTTACAGACACAAGAGAGTAAATATACAGTGAAAGGACACAAAAACATGTTATATATTCCCTGGGGCCCAGGGCAGAAAGTCAAGGAAGAAAATTAAGCCCAGGAATCTACCACCAACCCAGAAACTCTTTCAAAATACTTTTTCAACCCTAGTGTAATCAATCCAATGTGGACAGGGAAAATAAGGAAAAAGAGAGAGAGAGAGAGTTTTGAAAGCTGGAGATCAGATGAATGAGTGGTAAATAAAGTTGAAGGCCAAGAAAACTGAATACCAAGCTGACAATGGGGAAACAAAAACAGAACTAACACAATTAATACCAGATAATTCTCAAAGGCTGGGTAACCAACAGGACAGGGTTCTTCTAGAAGTCAGAGTAAAGCACATTCCATCAGTAAGATTTGAAAGCCCATTAAAGTTGAGAGATTTTATTCTATAAAAGTAATATTACCACTCATTTTATAAATCAGTCCTCCTTGTTGATTTTCATCGACTACTCAGAATCATTTGAAAATAAAATGGATTGGTCCTGAAAGGTATTGAGGTACCTGCCCACCCAATGTTCAAACTTGAGTAGGAATTTTTCTCATCCATGTTATAACATGCAATGGATCTCAGGGGTTAGGAAAACAATAGGCTCTATTAGTCTCAAAAGTTCTTTCCTCTGCTGAAATTATATCACTATTTAACACTATCAATATTATTTTTCAGATCCATAGCTCTCTCCTGGATTCTTCCAAAAAGAATTTATACACTTTTAGGTCTCTACCATTTTTTAAAAAGAACAAGTCATCCAAACTCTGTTGACTCCCCATTTTGCTTCAGATATCAGCTTCTTTTGTGCCCCCTCTTTAAAAGAAGACTCTCTAGGGGAAGGTAGGGCCTGGCTCAGTGGTAGAGCACTTGTTGAGCATGTTCAAGGACTTGAGTTTGATCCACAACACAACCAAAATGAATCAATAAATAAATAAACAAAAACAGAATACACCTGTAAAGAATTACTCAACTTCCTCCTTGAAACGCACAGTTGATGGGGTTTAGTATGCTAGGAATGTTTTACAACCCCATCATCATTAATTCCCAAACACTTTTATCACCCCAAAAAGAAACTATATGATCATTTGCAGTCACTCCTCATTCTCCCTTCTCCCAGGCTCCTGCAATCTCTCATCTAGTCTGAGGACCCTTTGGCAAGCACCATCTTACTCAACATGTCACCATGAGTATCTTACTTCTTTGAATACTATTTTCTCTTGGTCCCTGGATTTTCCTTCTGCCTGTCCAATCACTACTTCCCATCTCCTTTGCAAAGTTACCCTTCACTTCCTTCTCCTTAGAAGTTAGACCTCTACAAGGTGCAATTTCAGCCCAAATTCTTCTCACTCCATTCTCTCTCCCTAGACCAGGAGCTCTCAAACTTCAGTGTGCACCATCATCACCTGGATAGTTCCTTGAAACACAGATTTCTGGGCCTACCCCAAGTTTCTGACTCAGGTCTAAGACAGGGCCTAAAAATTTGCATTTCTATCAAGCTCCCAGGTGGTGCAGATGCTGCTAGTAGGAGGAAACACATTTGGAAAACCATTTGCCCTAGACAATCTCATCTACTTATCTATCTACAATGACACTCAAATACATCTCTCTAGCACAAACTCCTTTTTTTAACATTTTATTTTTTCTAATTAGTTAAACATGATGGCCGAATGCATTTTGTATCATTGTACACAAAGGGAGCACAATTTTTCATTTCTCTGGTTGTATATGCTGTAGAATGGTACCATTCGTGCAATCATTACATGTACCTAGGGTAATGATGTCCTTCTCATTCCACCATCTTTCCTACCCCCCCCATGTCCCCTCCCCTATACCCCTCCCCCATGCCCAATCCAAAGTTCCTCCATTCTTCCCAGGTCCCCTCCGGCAATTGTGGATCAGCATCCACTCATCAGAGAAAATGTTCAGACTTTGCTTTTTTGGAATTGGCTTACTTTGAGTAGCATGATATTCTCCAACTCCATCCATTTACCTGTAAATGCCATAATTTTATTCTCTTTTAATGCTGAGTAATATTTGTATGTGTGTGTGAGTGTGTGTGTAGATAGATAGATAGATAGATAGATCACTTTCTTTATCC